CAATGTTTCAAAAAATGGAAGCAATATAAACAAATTCATCTGTAGTTAGTGGATTAGGCACCTGCAAAGGCACAGTGAGATAGAAACATATATAACTGTATATGAATGTGGATATCAGATGTCTGGGTTATAAAAGAGCATGCTTGTGTAATGGACCCTTTGATGTTTCTCAGCATTGCTGTTTATTGTGGCTACCTTTGTTTTGGGGCTACCATTTTGCCAGGCCAAGGAGTCTGCAAATATTGAAAGGCTCACAAGCTGCCAGTAAGGCTTTGATGTGCAAGAATGCTTCTTTGATTGTAGCAATAAAGAATGTGAATTCTGCTTCTAGAGTTCTTCTTAAGTGAGCCTGTAACTTCTTGTAGTAACTTAAAGGTATCTGAGCAAAGTTAGCCTTAACAAAGATTATGAATATTAATTACACTTTCTTCTCAATCCAATCCAACAGCATGCATCCTGATTGTGAGGAAATAATTCTTGTAACTCCAAAGTAGAAAAATTTCTAATTCAGGGTCAAAAGTAGGGTATCATTACATTTTATTCACTCCCAGAATAGGTGGACACACGTAAATGGCCTATTGGGAATGATCCCGGGAATATCTCACTTGCTCAGCCATGACCTTTTGGACTGCCTTTTCAGGCAACTTAGCCAGTCAAATCTCCTAGACACGATTTACAACATGACTCAGTTCTATCCTTTCTTTTCATCTCCCTTCCTCTCCACCAGCTGCTGGAAGAATTAAATGCAGGTACCAGATAAGTACAAACTTGTTAGCATCCCAGTCCTGTTACAAATATATGGACCACCCAGTGTTCACACAAGGAGCAGTGCTGAAATGATTACTCTAACTCTGGTTGAGACAGACTCCAAATCAGAGAGCTGCTCCATTTGTTATCAGGAGAAGGAGTGCCTGCAGTCTTTGAATGGCACTGTCCTGGTGCCCAAGCAAGGATGAGGAACACTGACAACTGATTAAAATACCCAAACCAGCTACTCTGAAGAGGGCAGTTAGGAATGTCTTGTCTACTGACCAGTGACACCAGGCCAAGGAAATTATTATGGGAAAAACATATGGAAGAATCAACAGTTTGTTTTACTGCTTTCCTTTCTGTCAAGACTGCTAAAGGTCTTTCCTACAGTACTGTCAGAAACCATTTTTTGCCTGGTCAGTTTAGGCTCAGGAAGAATTTCCTAAGCAATCTTCTTGTGCTTGACTCTGCCCACAAGCAAAGTGCATGAAAGACACACTTCAAGTCAAAAGTTAAACTGAAGACCAAGATTTCATATGGTATCAATATTCAGCCCACCTTCAAATATACCCTACTGGGACTGTCCATTTGCAGAAGGTATAATCTGTGTAAAAAAATCAGTAATGTCTCTCAGCATGTCCAGCCCAAGGTGGAAGGAGGAACTGGGAAGCCCAGTCCAGTGACAGCTGAAAAAGACAATACAAACACATGAGGAAGCCCAGGAGGGTAAACCTGTAAGAAATGAGAACCTAAAGAAAAGCTATAGGATTTTTAAAATATTGATTTAAAAACAGCATGTAATCCCATGAAGTTGACACTGCTGGTATCAAATAAAGCAGCAGACTAAACCCACTATACCCGCCATCATCACCAAAGGACCCAAAAGTAGGGCTTCTTAGCGTTTTAGTGAATGTTGCTTCTGTTTCCCACTAGCGACAAATACAGCCTGATTGAAAGGGTTCCTTTGCAAATGCTATCATTATTTTAAATCCTCTGGGTCAAATTCTTTTTGTACTCAAGCAAATACTGAGTAATAACAATTTACACTGATCCTATAAGAAACAGTAAAGAAAAAAGGGGTTTAGCTATAACTCATGGGGGTAGTTTTTCTCACAACCTCAGAGAAAATCTATTGCTGCAAAAAGGATTTTAAAGGTTCTTGGAGCCACAATATGAAAACTACTTCTCTATAGCATTCAAACCCTTCTGCTTTACTATTAAAGATAATACCACATAAATACAACTTAATCCAGGCATCTGAACTGCCTTCTGCAACATTTGTATGATCTTTCCATTTTTATACACAACAAATCTGATAAACAGAGATTATATAAAGAGAAATCGTTGGAGCATTACAGCACAAGTATAGCACAGACTAGTTTCCTTCTTTTCAAGTAATCCCAACATATACAGCCAGAGTCTAATAATTAGAAAAAACTGACTTCTGTTAAGAAAAAGAAACCAATTCATGTTAAAAAAAATTCCCTGACTTCGAGCATACTTTACTTTGTGCTGAATATTTTTAAATGCTCAAGATTCTGAAAGGTCTGTATCAGAAAAGAAACCAAATTTCTGCTTTATTTTGCATTTTTATACATATACATACTGCCACCATCTCTGTTCTCAACAGGCCTGTCAGCCCAAAGAACAAGAATAAAGAAGATAAGGAGGAACAGAAATAGAAATATCTGTTAGGATTAGGTGTAAAAACAACATCTCAAAAGTATTTAGGACAAAATTATTGCAGATAACCAAATTCTTGGATGCCCATCCCTCAGGGAGATGGGCACCAGGAGAAACAGAGCGTACAGAAGTTGATGCTAGCACCAGAAAACACAAGCCACAGAGCAGTGGATAGAGAAGATTTGTGAGAAAAGACCTGTAAAGACCTGTATTCACACTTGGGAAAGTGTGATGATTCAGATACAGACAGCAACTTAAAAGATAATCCTGAAGAAGAGCGCTAGCTTTCTTGTGAAGACATTCTGTCATAGTTTAAATTGCATTGTTTATTCCTCTAAGCAGGCAGATAAGCCTGAGAAACACAGGAATATACAAATGCATTTCTAAGTGGAATGTCCTGCAACATAAAAATAATTGAAGTAATAATCCTGTGTTCCTCTAAACAGCTATCATCTGTATTTCTTGCATGCAATTAAAACCAACCAAATAACGCTGATTATTTGGCTGCAAGATGAAATGCTGAAAGGACTGGAACACAGAGAGGTGTGCTGCAATTCCAACAGGACAAGGACGACTGTGCACAGAGGCATTCTGCTAGCACAGGCCACTGGAAAAAGCTGGCACTGAGGAGGTGGTAGTCATCACGTACAGGCAGGAGTGGGCAAAATGAAGGCCACGTAGGTAGGGAAGTATCTGCAGTACAAAGCTATTTCACTAACCTTGCAAAGTTGCTATCACAATTGTTCTCACAGAGCAGCATTTTCTTGTAACTTGCTAGTTTATTTATAAAACAGAATGGCTAAAGCCAAGTGATTCTGTATAAATAGTGAGAATCTCACAAACAGTTGGAAACAGACGTGCAGGACAGGCACCAACAAGAGCCATAATGCACAGTCCCATGGTTACCTGTGAGGGGGGCATCAGGGAGGCAGGAACGGGTCCCTGAACTCTTGTGTGGTGGCTTGCTAAGGAGAAACTCCACCTGGTCTTTCCTGACTTTATTCAAGGAGTTGGAGAAACTACCACCGCATTTCATGTCCACGGGCAGTAAGGCATAGGATGAACTTTGCATGTTGAGTCAATGTGCTGGCTTAACCAAGTACAGGGTGTGAGATGAGAGCATTGGACCATCTATTAGTATGAGCCCGTGTGGCTGCATGGTTATTTCCAGAGCTTGCTGGAAACCCACTGCTGGACTGCTCTGTGAGGCCACAAGCATCCCCATGGCCCTTGCAGGGAGTCCAAACAAGGCTGGAAAGAAATCTCACTCAGTCCAAAGCCCAGGAGGTATGTGCAACTTCTTCACCGCAGAAAATTGCATTCATCTACTATGGACACAGAACTGATGTGTGACAAAGGTGGCCAACTTCAGTGCTTGCATACAAGACCTTACAGATTGTACCATCACCACCATCAGGTGCCCTTGTCTCCTCACAGCACTCGGTATTCACCAGATAGCTCTGAGCAATGTGGAAAGAGGTCATAAACTCTACGAGTCAGCCAACCAACAAGACAGGACAATGCACTTCTCTTTGGAAATGGGATATTATGTAGTGCTCCCTGCTCGCACAGCATTGCCATCTGGCAAGTAAAGGACAGCGTATGCTCTAATTAGTTCTCTCTGTCTGCACAAATCAGGACCTACAAAATATCCTACAGACCCACTTCAAACTGAACATCTGCATGGGCTGTGTCTGGAAATGAAAGCCTGAGAAAGGGGCTCCACTTGGTATTGTGAAAGACGTAGGTTTTACTTATTACACACTTTCAAATCTGAATTCCCCTGGGGCTTTGCTGACTTCCAGAGCAAGCCCCCGAAGACAGAGAATTACGCTGGTATGCTGATAGCAGATTCAAACCCCTGATTTACTACTCACTAGCTCAGAGCAGAAAAGCTAAAGTATCACTCCATCCCTCCTCCTCCTGGACAAATCTCTACCCTCTGGTATATAAAAAACGTATTTCACAGCTCTAAATAGCGATTCTTTTTGGGACTGAGATGTGACGCCTCCCGCCAGTCCAACTCAGCCGTCAGCGCGATGCAGTGGTCCCCGAGGTCTGCCGAGGACGGTGGGAGCATGCAGCAGCTGTCCCTGCCGCCTGCCTCCCGCTGAGTTTCTCCTGCCTCATCCTACGGGAGCAGAGGACAGTGAGTCCCGCAGCCTGCAGGTGTCTCCCAGCGGAGGAGGCTGCGGAGCCCCTTGGGATCATGTGTGGTACCCGAGCAGATGTTCACTTGCTCTTGGTGCTCTTTGTGAGACAGACCCTCTCTGATCCTGTCAGCGCGCTGAAGCACACCGACTACGAGAGGACGGCCGCACTCCCGCGCCTGCAGCTGCTCCTTTAACGTACAAAGGCAGGATTTCAAGTGAAGAGAAGAATGGGAGTCTGGCTGCAGCGTTTCCTTCGCTGCTACAACAACAGATTGGAAGAAGCCGAGAGTTTTGATGCCTGGAAAACTGGATTCTGAATCGTGAGAGGCTTTGAACCCCCCCCCCTCCTCCCAAATAAAACAAACCCCTTTGACTTCTTCTCTCAGCAGGAGGGGGAGGGAGGGTGGATTTACCATGAAGACAAATCGAAGATGCAGAGCCCTGCTAGCAGTGAGTCTGAATCTGATGGCTCTCCTCTTCTCTACAACAGCTTTTATCACGACCCACTGGTGTGAGGGCACACAGAGGGTCCCCAAGCCAAGCTGTGGGAAAGAGAAGAAGACAAACTGCCTCAACTACAGCGGGAATGAGACTGCAAATGAGACAAACCAGAATGTGGTTCATTACAGCTGGGAGACAGGAGATGACCGCTTCCTTTTCAGGTATTTCCACACTGGGATCTGGTACTCCTGTGAGGAAAATATCAATGCTGCTGGTAAGTATAAAACAACTTCCTTCCAGCTTGTGTTGCTTTGTGTTTGGCCCAGTGTGATAAACACACAGGCAAGCTGTTCCGTGCTGTATCTTAAAGCATATTCGCCCTGCAGAGAGAGGCAGGATTTTAACAGTTCTTTGTTGAAAAGCAACCTGTTTCCAGCAAGAGCAAGGATTTGCTTGTTTACCTGCTGGCTGATGCAGGATCTGTGCTCTAAAGCCAGCTGAACCTCTGATAAGCAATATGTGCTACTCTCATGGGCACTGCAGCCAGAGACTGGTCAGTGCTTCCCTTCTGGGAGCTGCTCCATGGAGCACACAAAAGACAGCGGCTGGTAGTTGTTAAGGAGGTTCTGACATCTGATTGTAATTGCCCTCGAAATAACCCATAGGACAGTGGTCTGAATGACAGGGAAAGCACAAAGGTCACAGTTTTTATCAGGCTGTAGCCTAGCCTTCCTCTTTTCTCGCATCCCTTAAGTAAATGACCACCCACAAACCCTTCCTGGTGGCTGGATTGTGTGTTTATTGAAGTAGAGTAGAGAAATGGCAGTTAAAGGGCACAACTGGGCACAAGAAAGCTCATTTCTGTTCCCTGCTCGGCCATTTACTTGCTGAGAACCACTCGACAAGACGTCTCTCCAGCTTCTCAGTGCGTTCATTTCCTCTGCCGTACCCTGGCACTTACCAAGAAACAAAACACTGGAGGGTGAGGGTGGATGGAAGGTAGCAGCCATGGGACTGATGTAAGTCTCAACAGATGCAAACTGACAGTCCCTTCTCCCAGAGCTGTCTGGTAGAGCTAACATCCAAACTGTTTTTGAAAGAGCTTTTTTCTAGATTATGTGACTGGAAAATAAAGTTTACAAATGTGAGACTCTGTAACAGGGACAATGATGGCTCATGGATGCTGGTTCCCGCTTGCTGGGCTGTTTCCATGCTATTCTGCTGTTGCCCAAGGAGTAGACTGGGGAGTTGGTCCTTCACCACTGTTGGAAGAGAGGAACAGTTAATCATCCTACGTGTTGTGTCTCTGAGGACACAACCTCCCCAATAATGGGAAGTTTATGGGGTCTTGGTAAGACTGCTCTGTAAGAAGGTACGATAAAGTGGGGCAACCTTGCAGAGCAGCTCACAGTCCGTTTCATCCGAAGGTGCTGTGTATACTCACTCGTATTTTTGAGAACTTCAAGAACTAGTTGGTCATTAAAGCTCAATTTAATGTATGAAAAGGAAAGTTCATGAACTCCAACCTTGGGACTGTCAATAAACAGCTCTATGCTGAAATGAGTGCACCTAAGTAACCCTCTTGACATTAGAAAAAATATAGAAAAAAGACAGTTTGTCTTACTGATTTGGAAATAAACTTAGGCCACAGCAGCCTGAGTGAGCAGCTTAAGACTCTCCAACTTTTTGAGCCTTTTAGCTGGGATTGCGACCATCAAGCATGCCCACATTTCTGGCAGATATTGAAAGCTTTCCAAGCCAAGATTTATGTGTGAGATAACTTGTAACTGTGTGACTCTAGCCCACTCAGAAAACTGAGTTATCTGTGGGAGAAGAGAAATACAGTGATCTATTCTGTACTGGGTAAACAAAGCTGTGCTGTGGTGGGTGATTTCAGGAGATAGCTGGAAGCCAGCTTTAGAAAGTTGTGGTGAAATCAGGAGAGAGAGTGTTGTTTCTCACCTCCTCACACCGCCACAGCAGCCACATGTGTGTTTCCTCTTATTTGAAACACTAACTTGGTGAAAAGTACTCTTCAGTTAGCAGACCAGGAGTGACCCACCTTTAGAAAGAATCCACCCGGGTAGAGGGATATATTAGCTTAGACAGACAGCTGCCTCAGTCAGGATTTACCATATTTTTTTCTGGTAAGGACAGGAATGGTGTAACGGACACGGGTCTAAATTTGTCCCTAAGAGTGTCAACATAAAATAACCATGAAAGGTCTTCATTCAGACTTACTGGTTTGCAGTACCAGACTGTCAGTATGTTGTCATGGTCTTTTGCAGCCTGACTGGTGATCATTTTATCTGAGCTCCAGGGCAGCGAGGCACCAGCCAGCCCCAGTCCAGCACCACTGTGATCATGCTTACACATACACCCACAACACTCAATGTATCTGTGAATAATCCATCCCTTAGGCTCATCACACTGTCCACCGCACACATACTGACCACAGTCCTGTAGGTGTCACAAGTCATACAGTCACCATGTTGTTAATAAACACCCTAGGGTGCCAGGAGAACGTCAAGAAAATACCACTAAGCACACAGACAATAGTGCATTAAATTAGTCAAAAGCACTAGCTTGAATGCACTCCATACTTCCAGTAACACCTTTCTTAAAGCTTTACCAATAGCATACTGAAAATGACTGCAACAACTGCTTTCCTCCAGGCAAAGTCCTTTCAGTGGCCACTCCATGGCCTCACACCTCTGTCAGCAGAACATATGGCTGCAGACTATGGTCAGCACCATTCCTGCAGCTCCGGACCTGTCCCTGATTCCTCACTGCCAGTGTCTGAAGCTAAGCAATATGAATCCCACCAGGAATACATAAATGCCAGTAACACTCTCTGCAGTTGTGACACTGTCAAAATGCTCCAGAGACTCCTAACGTTCCCAGCTGTGAGTCACATTCTTCATCTAGCCACCAGGCTTTTGATTTCTCTCTCCCTACAGTCACAGTATTGTCAAAACTTTCTGCTCTCTGCACTGGTGCAGCTGCAACACAGCAGATCTTGCAGTGCAGACACAACAGGACCAGTTCCCAGAAGGCTGATACTGCAAGGGACAGGACTGCAGGGCTTCCAGTTGGCTGGAGGGGCTGGGACTCGATCACACCTTAAAATGACATTTAGGCTGCAATCAAACAAAATTTTTGAGTGTCTTCTCCTCCCACTGTTTATCTGAAATATCCATTTAGATCCAGAGGTAGAGATGCAAAAAGCATGCCATACACTCTCCGTACAGAGATTAGTGAAGCGGGCCTTCATCTTGCTACAGGTTTCTAGTTTTCACTGACATCTCTAACAGAGATTGAATTCTGTGATTATTTCTGAAATAATTTGTGACTGTAGAGTTTATTTTTATCCAGCATGTCTAGGACAGCTAAAGAATCCAAAAAGCATTTAGCACCTGAGAAATAAAATTGTGAATCCTCTCTGGGAATAGAGGGACCTGAGCATATATTTTTCATTGATGGGTGAGTCCTGTAATTATTTAGCACAATTTCTGACTCAAAAGTATGCTGAAACCCAGTCTACCAAAAAGAGGATGAAGGCACTCTTTTTCAGAGTGGGTTCAATGCTTTGGATCCCCCATGGGTGCAGGTACCTTCTGTAAGAGCAATGCACCTAATCTCCAGAAGGGGATGAAGCTACAGCATAGCCTATGAGCTCCATACTTGTGCTGGTCACGAGTCCTGTTCTGCACTCACACACTGCACAGGGCACTTGGTGCCTCCTCCTGGGCCATGAATTCCTTGGCTACAGCCAGGTGTCTCAGAGCCAAGCTCTCTATCATTTCATTTCTTTTTGAATATGACTTTGAGTGCAGATCTTATTCCACACCTGCAGTCTAGGTCTGCGCTTGTGTCAGTACTGGACACCTCACAGGATACCAGACAAGTGATGTGCTAATAGCAGCAGTGGTAAACTAGCTAGTAGATTCCATGCCTCAGGAACATATGCGCCATGAAAAAATTAACACACGAAGTAGGTAAGGTGGCTTACCTTATCCTAACAGGTAGAGGAGTTTGAGAGCTGGGAAGCAGTAACAAGTTAGCCAGTTTTGCTCAATAGTGTGTTTGCTTTGATTTTAATAGAAAAAAAACATGACTCAAATCTTGTTTTAGTTGCCAATGAACAGACAACTTCAGCAATAACATCCACATTCAGAAGGAAAAGCAGCTTCCTAGGTGCCTGTTAAGAGTACTGTCCCATTAAATAAACAACGAGCCTTTCCGTGTTGCTCACCATGTTCCACAGAAGTCAGGGAGATCAGGAATGGGTATGCATAGGCTTGTCTTGTATTCTTGGAATTACATTTTGAGGGCAAGGGGTCTGTAGCTCTTTGTATGCTCTGTACCACATATTCCTTACCACTTTTTTTAAGGAGTAAATGGTAGAGTGGAACTTACGTGGTATGTAAGGATGCATCAAAATGGGCCATAAATATGGACATTAAATGCACATTTGAGAAAAAGCCAGAGAACAAGAGAGGTGCATCCTGCGAAAATGAATAAATCTGTAAGATATAAAGACATGAACTTGCCATACACTTTCACAGATCCAGAGTGGTACTGCATCACCCTTCTCCCCCGCCACCGTGTGATAATAAGCGTATATGATTCACCGTAGGCAGCTGTCCAGAGAAAGGGACCAGGGAGAAGCACCTTGTGAGTATATAATCAAAAGCAAAAGGAATCGGGAATTCTTGCTGGATTATGAGAAATACAATATAATTGGCATGACTGAAACCTGGTGGATTTGTTGCTAGCAATAAATTGCTAGTTATAAATTGTTTAGCAAGGAAAGAG